TACTAATGCATGAAAATCCTAACCTCAAAAAAATCACCCGTTATATGGAATCTGTACGTCTGTTTTTAGCGACTATTCGGTAAAAGAGTTATTAAAACGCATTGCCGTTAAAGGGACCACTTAAGGTTTTATTAGAACGTTTTAAATGAAGCATATGACATAGAATTTATGTAAAAAATTGAAACTTTTTTTTTATAAAAAAAATTTCCCTTTTATGGGAAATTTTCTTTTTCTTAGAAAATGTTTTTTTTTTTTGCTGAGCTGAATTTCAAACTATTTTCGATTGATGCGCTCTTTGTCACCAGCTCCCATTTTTTTCTTAACATTTCCGTGTCATTAACATAAACATCAATTTAAAATATCATGTAGTGATATAACAAGTAATTTTTAAGTAAAAAAAAAACAAAACCGAATTCAATTCTCATATACAAATTAAAAAGCCGTTAATTTCTTCATGATCCAACGATCGGATCTAAACCAACCCTGCAGTACGGGGGAGCGACTACAGGAGTGAGTACCTTATAAACACCGTCACTTACCGACCGACTATTTGCAGTGTATTTCATCGACTACTTTTACAAGGCAATGTCCTAGGCGGTAGTCACCATCGGCTCTCTCTGCACTACCGGGAGTTACTAAAGTAGTCACTTGCGTGGTTTATGGGCGCTCTTTGTCGTAGTTTTTCGCTATTCTGCTTACGACTGGTTCGACTCTGCACTACCATGTGCACTACCACGAGTTAATAGAGTAGCTACTTACCTAGGAGTCGGTGTAGTAGCCGTTCAAAAGTAGCAATTGACTCCAGCAGTACTGGAGGGAAATTAGTATGGGACCACCGCTGAGGTACCACCTTTCCTTAAAAAAAATTATAGAATTCGGTTAACGTCAAAGATATGCGGTAACATAAATACATAAAGTAAAAAAATAAATAAATTACTCCGACGAATTGATAACCTCCTCCTTTTTTAGAAGTCGGCTAAAAACAAACTTTACTTTTTATGAAAAAATGATCTATGAAAGCAGCATTAAAAAGGCGAAACGTGAAAATTTCCCTCAAAGGAAATTTTTTGTTTGTCTTGAATCACAACCTACATAAAGCAGAACTAAGACATTTAGCATAAAAACTGAAAATACTTTAAATTAAAAAATTCCCTTTTAGGGGAAATTTAATTTTTCTTAAAAAAATATTTTTCACTAACTTGCTTGCCCAATTATTTCATATTGCTGCGTCCTGGCCTCCATATTTTCTTCGCATTACAAAGTATTTAAATATGAATTAAAATTTCCATTTTTGAAGCTTAGCAGCTGACTCGAGTGAAAACATAAAAATAAAAGCTTTCGCTTTTCATTGAGCCATATATGTGTAGATATGTACATGCATATACAGGTAGTATAAACTAACATATACCTAAGTAAATTTAAATAAATAGTATTAAATGCATAAACTGTCCAATATCCTCTCGGTAGCACAGGAAATGCGTACAAGCTGTCGGCTTCCATGCAGCACTGATGCGATGGTTGCAGAATATAAAGTGAAACTCACACACACTTAACTAAATATAAATGGATCATAAAGTATTTAATACTTCACAACGCTTTAATCCTCCCCACGTTTAATTTTGCTGATGTTAATGTTTTTTTTTTTAATCTCGCGGTCAAGTGCGGTGCGTTTGCAATTTTCATAAATAATTTCCCATGGAAAATCATATAAATTATTCTGACTTCCGTTCGTTTGGCATGAATGCCCAATGTGCATATTTATGAATTCGACCATGTTCATACTACAACATATACAAACATATATATGTATGTAGGTACATAAGTGTGTATGTAAAAGTATATTAATTGTTTTTATATTTATGTATGTATAACTAGATACTATAAGCATTCTATAGATGTAGTATATTTAGTAGTATGTATGCATGAAAATAAACTCGCACAATCGTTCGTGAAGGGATTTTTGATTATAATTTATTTATTCCACACATTTGCTGCTGATTTTGTGGCAATGATTGCAGCAATATTTGTTAAATGAATAACGCACGGCACTTGCATATGTAGTTTGTTTTATTTAATTTATTATGCTATAAGTTTTTATTATTTGCGAAATACTTATGAAAAGTTTATGATGGATACCAAATGAATGCCCTTACAGTTTGGTGCGCTTTAGTTTACTCATAATAATTTTGTATAAAGAGAAATAATATTTAAAAGGTGGGTACCAACAAACATACATATTCATTCCTAACTCTTCTTTTATCAAATAAATCAAGCAGATATTTAGCGAAATTAAATTAAATCTAAATTGATAAAAAAAAGAAAAAAACATATAATTTTGTTGTAAAACAGAAGAAAGATACCAAAATTACTAAAATTCAATATGTAGGAAAATCAACCTCAGGAAAATTTTAAGG